AGTTGGAAATGAATAGTTCCTTTGCTGTAGAATGATGGTTTGGAACAGCAACATCAGCATGACCTGGGAATTTGTTAAAATGCAAATTATAGGGCCCTATTTTAGACCTACAAAACCAGAAACTCTGAGAATGAGCCTAGTAGTCTGGATTTTAGTAAGCCCTCCAAATGATCCTGATGCCTACTAAAGTTTCTGAGCCACTGTAGTTTCTGATTCAGTAGCTCTGGGTTGGGCCTAAGAATTTGCATTTCTAATTAGTTCCTAGATGGTGGCTGCAGCTGCTATAGCACTCTGAGAACCACTGCTATGGAAGAAGCTTCATCTTCCTCATCATCCACACAAGCATCCTTCCATTCTCTGGCCCTTCCTCTAATGTCCTTTCTTGCCTGATGACCAAGAGATTGGGTCGGCATCCTGGAACAGCTATACCATGTTGATTTGTCTGTCTGTCTCCTGCTCTCATTTTTCTTCCCCTGGAAACAGGACTCTCCATTTCTAAGCCCAACGTGGTCTCCTTACTGGAGCAAGGAAAGGATCCTTGGATGGTGGAGACAGAGATGTCACACAGTCAATTTGCAGGTGAGCAACAGGTAACCAGGCAGGGAGGGCTATTGTAAGGTGTCTGCCCAAGTAGTCGTGAGGAAGCTGCCCTGGGCTTCAGGTGGGAACTGAAATCTCTTTAGCATGTGCTTCCCTAGAAACCTCACCTATACCTTGGGTTTCTTTTCTCCCTATTTCTATCAAATTATACTCTCTAGTCTTCTACCTATACCCTGAATCTCAATCCTTCCCAGCTCTTCTTTTCCCTTTATGGTCAGAATTGTATACATTACTAGATTTTTTTTTTTAGAGTTTTACTTTTATCAAAATTATTATCAAGGCTATGCATGCACATTGTTTAAAGAGTCAAGTAGTTTCACAAGGCCTTTGCCCTTAAAAAGGGACTCTCTTGCCCTGCTCTCCAGTTTCCCTCTCCCTAGAGAGGTTTACTTTCTTCTTTTGGTGTTCCCTTCATGTCTCTAAAAACATGTTTATGTTGCTACTTTTTGATTGTTTTTGTAGGTTTAGTCCTTATTCAATATCTTCTTACTAAGAAAATAAGGATTTAGTGCTTTCTTATCCTGCATCCAACACGTGTGCAGACATACAAATACACACATTGCTCATTCCCTGTTTTTTTTTTGAGACAGAGTCTCACTCTTTTGCCTGGGCTAGAGTGAGTGCCGTGGCGTCAGCCTAGCTCACAACAACCTCACACTCCTGGGCTCAAGCAGTCCTTCTGCCTCAGCCTCCCGAGTAGCTGGGACTACAGGCATGCGCCACCATGCCCGGCTAATTTTTTCTATATATTTTTAGTTGTCCGATT